GGGGTCATTAGGCATGAATGCCTTTCTGCAGCTGGCCCCTCTCTGGAGGAATTAGGATCCACGTGTTTCTCTTTCTCCTCCTTCCCCGTGTGGGAGGGAGCCGGGCTTCCCTTCCCCGCAGACCAGCCTCTTCCTCTCTCTTTGCTTTCTCAGGATCTCCTTCCTTGCTGTCACCCCTGCCTCCCTCTATCTTCTGTTTCTCTAACCTGTAGCTGCTGCCTCCTCATTTGGATCTATTCAATTTGGTTTTTTTGGCCTTGGGATATTTCCTTTCCTTTTGTGTGAGCTTAGCTATTTGTAAGTTTGCTGATTTTATACACTGAGAGGTTTTTTTGTTTGTTTTCTGCAGGAGCCTGGGAGTGGCGATGGGGTGGGAGTTGCCACACTGTGAGAAGTGCCTGTCTTAGTTAATGAGAAGCTGATGAATGATCAGTTTCACCTGTGGTCCACTGGAGCTGTGTTCATCTCTCTCTAGTAATTTCCCAGACTTTGCTACTTACTTGGAAATGTGGGGGTAATCTTTGAAAGCAGATTCCTCTGTAAAATTTCAGGAGGCTATGCAACTTGAAGCCATCAAAAAGTTGGAGTCTTTGTTTTGTTGACCTTTCACAGCAAAACTTCTTTCCCCATATGCTCAGGATGAAACTCACAAATCCCCCTGACAACACCTCCGACTCCCCGCCTCACACCCCAATCACAAACTCAAAGACCATGTTGGGAGTTCTAGTCTGGTCCATCAACTTGGGTCCTGTCTGTCTGTGCAGATTTAATTTTACTCTTTAAAACTCTCCTGACTGAAGCAGTTTGTCTTTTCAGTTAGAAACCCATCATCACACTGGGCTTCCCCTGGGTAGAATTAGTGCCTGTAAATCTCTGATTACTGTCAAATTAAATTAGATGCCTCCCATTGCTGATCATTGATCACTGCCAATTCCTTAATTTCCTATTCATTTCCCCTCCACCCCATTTCAGTTGTTACAAATGAAGTTGATTAAATGGTTTTGTGTAAGCAAGGACGTCATTCCATCTTCAGTATTATCAGTACAGAGTTTACAAGTTTAGCGATGCTTACAAGTGAACGCGTTTAAAAATAGAGAGGGGCCTTTGTAGGTTAGCTTCTCTAGGTGGGGCTGCCTAAGGTTCAGGGTTTTCACAAAAGGACTCTCAGAATCAGCAGAACTTGGGAACCAAGATGTCAGATGATGGGGGAGTGGACCCCTGGTGTTACTTTCCTGTTGCTGCTGTGATGTGTGGGCCTCCTAGGCGGCTCCAGGAGACATGGGTTAGATCCCTGGGTCAGAAACACCCCCTGGAGGAAGGAGGCATGGTAACCCACTCCTGTATTCTGTCCTGGAGAATCCCATGGACAGAGGAGGCTGGTGGACTGCAGCCCACAGGGTCACACAGAGTCGGACACGACTGAAGCGCCTTAGCATGCACCCACACACGCTGTAATGCGTTACCGCAAACTTGGTAACTTAAAACAGTGGAAGTTTCTTCTCTCACAGTTGTGGAGGCCAGAAGTCCAGAGTCAATTTCACTGGACCAAAGTCAAGGTGTCGACAAGGCTGTGCTCCCTCCATGCCTCTAGGTGGATCCGTCCTTCACCTCTCCCAGCTCCTGGTGGCCGTGTTATTCCATCCCCGCCATCTCTGCTCGCTTCACCTCTTGGACTTCTCTGTGTATTTGTGTGAAATCTCCCACTGCCTCTATTTTGTGGGGACACTTGTGGTGACCCTTAGCGCCACCCAGATAATGTAGGTTAATCTCATTTCAGCATCCTTCACTTTTTCCAAATAAGGTCACATTCACACGGTCTAGGGGTGGGGGCTTAATGTCTTTGGGTGGCCATTATATAACCTACTCCAGGCAATGAAAGAGCTAAATAAATTATCCTCCTAATAATTGTGTGCTTTGTTAAGAAAGGCAGATCATATTACTGCCGGGCTTTCAGACTGTTGTTTATTCACAGTACTTTTAAGAATCTCACTGCCAAAGGGTGTAATTTTTAAAACGTTGCAACATAGAGTTGAGCAGACAGAATCTAATTGTACTTTTCAGCATTCCTCTTTCCACCTCCACAAGATGATGGATATATATTTGTGTGTATATATATGTGCATGTGTTATGCATATATACATATATTTTTTCACAAATGAGTACAGCTTTTAAAGCTTTTGGTTTTGTATATACTGAACTGGTAGACCAAACTACAGCCCACTTCTGTGGGCAGACAGCATCAGCCTCACATTGCCCTGGGATGTTGCAGGTTCCGATTTATCTGGTCCAGTGGCTGATTGTCCCCTCTTGGTCATATCTGTGGTTTAAGGGCCTGATAATCTCCATTAAAATGGTCGAAGGTGGTCAAAAGGTACAAACCTTCTGGTTGTAAGATAAGTCTGAAGGATGTAACGGGCAGCATGGTGACTGTAGTTAGCAATGAAAATGAAAGGAAGCGTTAGTCGCTCAGTTGTGTCCGACTCTTGCGACCCCGTGGACTGTAGTCCGCCAGGCTCCTCTGTCCATCGAATTCTCCAGGCAAGCATACTGGAGTGGGCTGCCATTCCCTCCTCCAGTAGTTAGCAGTACCGTATTGTATATTTGAAAAGTTGCTAATATGGAAGATCATAGAAGTTCTTATCATACACACATAAGTTTATAACTATAGTGATGGATGTTTACCTGGTTTATTGTGGTAAACACTTCCCAATAGAGACATACACCAAATCCTTATGTTGCGTACCTAAAACTAATACAATGTTATATGTCAATTATATCTCAAGTTTTTTTTTTTAAAGACTGTTCTAGAACAAATGATAAACTGTTTACAGCTAGATTAAGCTGTTTTCAGCTAGTTTTGCTTCAATGATTAAAAAAAAAAGGTCCCCTGATTTGCTTGGTTAGTAACCTGTTGGTCACTCATTGTTTATAAAGGATCGTGTGTGGCAGAGTGGGGAGTGGCCCCTGTGTTAAGGGGAGGGATTGGTGCTTTAAATGGAATGGCGGGTGGTAGGTGTGGTGGGAGCATAAGACGGGAGTGTTAAAGAGACTTTCTGGAAGGAAGGTGGGACTGGAGTTAGTGTCTGAGGATTTGAAGGTGTAAAGAGGGTGGAGAGTGGCTGAACATGTGGTCAGGGGGAGTGAGGAGACCTGCTCTGGGGAGCTGGGAGTCTGGGCTGAACAGTGGCGGGGCTGGTGGAGAAGAAGCTTCAGTGCTGGGCTCAGGCCGTGGACCTTGCCCGACAGGCAGCAGAGAGCCCCCAAAGAGCTTTAAGCAAGAAATTGGAGTTCTAGACCCACTGATATCAAGGCAGGGCGGAGTGTGAATTCAAGGGGCCCGGATGAGTATCAAGGAAAAGAGGTAGGACATTGATGTCATAGTCCAGAGCAGCGGTGGCCAGGCTTTTATTTTTATCACAAAGTTGTCAAGAAAATAACGTTTGAAGCCGACACAATAGTGTGAATCAATTATCCTCCCATTAAAAAATTACAATTTGAGTGGGGGTTGCCAGGACCTGGGAGGACTCAGGGATAGAGAATTAGTGTTAAAAGAAAAGAAAAGAACATTTGAGCCCCTTTGTACAGACATGTGTCTGCCTGTCTGTTGTTCAGTCGCTCAGCCGTGTCTGACTCTTTGCACCCCATGGACTGCAGCACGCCAGGCCTCCCTGTCCTTCACCGTCTCCCGGAGTTCATCCAGCTTCGTGGCCGTTGAGTTGGTGATGCCAGCCATCTCATCCTCAGCTCCCTCTTCTGTCTTCAGTCTTTTCCCAGCATCTGTCTATCTATCATCTACTATTCCTTTATTAATTAATCTATATCACACTTTTGGACACTGAATGCATTATGAAGCAGGTATAAAATATAATTACAAGAAGAAAAAATAAGTAGAAAATAGCTCTAGTGTTCTGTCCTGCAGTCCAGTGGCGTGACAGCCTCATAGAAGAATGTCCTTTGGGTTGCTAGAGTCTCACACGGAGACAGGGCATCTGAAGGCTGGGAGGCAAGGTCCCCAAGGAATCCAGCCTGGTGTGGGAACAGAGAGGAAGGGAAAGTGACAGAGGCAGTTAGCACAAGTGGGCGATGAGGTGTCACTGGCTGGTCACCTTGGAGAGGAGAGAAGACCTAAGTAAGAAGAAGTGGGCAAAACAGTGGTGTGTTTAAGGCTGGGTGAGTGAATTGGTGACAGCTAACGAAGGAGGGGTGGAGACTTGGGCAGAAGTCCTCTCTCCCCCTTCATCCCTCCATCCTTACCTCTGTTCTCCTTTCCTTCCCTTCCTCCTTCCTTCCTTCCCTTTCTGCATAGCAGGAGGGTCTACACACGTGACGTGTTGATAGTGGGGGAAGTGGCCCAGGAGGGGTGTCCAGGCGGCGGCGGAGATGTGTCTCTGGAGCAGCGACATGTTGGGCCTGACTTGGGGCCAAGAGGACCTACGTCGTGATTCAGAGGCAAAGAGGTGACCCCTGGAAGCCAGGGACAGCTGGACCTGAGGGCCTGGTGCGGGGCAGAGGAGGGCAGGGAGGAAGGGCAGGGCTACCAGATCCCTGCGCATTGCACCCCTCAGCTCCCTAAACACGCCCCAGAACCGAAGGTGGGGGCAGATTTGGCTGTTTCAGAAACGAAGGCCTGGGGGGACCCAACCTGGAGCCATTACGAGGTCTGAGCGGGGTGGGGCGGGGGCCAGGAGGGGCCTTGGCTGGAGGTGACCTTGGTGTTTTCTCCGCAGGATAAAGCACCAGGTCTGACACTGACTCTTCACTGAGCCTTCCAGACTTACTCGAGCTCGCCTGAGTGAATGTCATTCTCTTCCTTCGAGGTTGACTCTTCTGACCTTTGCTGATGTAACATTTTTCTTTTCTCCCTGGATGCTACTTCAGACCAGGTTCTGCTCCTGGTGCAGAGAAGGAGCGATGTGTCTTCCTAGGGTTTTGTGGCTAGTCAGGTGGGTAAACTTCGCCTGCAGTGTCTAGTAACAGCCGCATTCCTGGTGTCTCCTTAGGTGGCCATCAAGGTCATTGACAAGAAGCGAGCCAAGAAAGACACCTACGTCACCAAAAACCTTCGGCGAGAGGGGCAGATCCAGCAGATGATCCGCCATCCCAACATCACCCAGCTCCTCGATATCTTAGAGACGGAGAACAGCTACTACCTGGTCATGGAGCTGTGCCCTGGGGGCAACCTGATGCACAAAATCTATGAGAAGAAGCGGCTGGAGGAGGCGGAAGCGCGCAGATACATCCGGCAGCTCATCTCTGCAGTGGAGCACCTGCATCGGGCCGGGGTGGTCCACAGGTAAGGGCTGCGCCGTGATGCTGGCCACCAACTCTGGGCTGGATGCCCAGCGCCACGCTGCAGTGCAAGCCGTGCAGGGCCGAGTCCATCCTGGCTCTGTCCTTTGAATAGTTATGTGACCCTAGCCTGGTTAGTTAACCACTCTGAACCTCAGTCTCTTCTTCTGTAAAATGGGAGCAATCATGACACTCGTCTCACGGTTGGCATAAGGGGAAAGGAGTTGTTATATGGAAAGAACTTGGAACTGCGTTTGGTATGTAATAGGGCCATGTTAAGTGTTGGCTGCTCTTGTTATTATTATTTCCAAAATAATAAAAACTCTTGCTCAGGTGCCTGAAAGAAGGATCGATACTAGGATGGCATGAGATTTTTTTTTTTTTTTAATTTTTATTAGTTGGAGGCTAATTACTTTACAATATTGTAGTGGTTTTTGCCATACATTTTAGCAATGCTTGATGGTGCTTTCCCTGTATTTGTTTTACATATGGTAGTTGCTCATAGCTGTTTTATACAACGGAATTGAATTACTATGTGAATTGTGAACTTGCCTTTGAAAGTAAGGCTTGTTCCCCATAAGCCAAACCAACCTTGCAAATAATTATGAAAAACTTTTTTTTTGGAATACCTTGCTCCCTCTTGAAGGAGGAGTTTTGCAAGCAAATGGAATGGAGACAGAATTCTCAGCAGTGCTGCTGTTGGTGGTGGGGCCAACTTTCAGTGCTAGACTAAAATAAGGTCAACAGAATATAGTAAAATTAAAAAAAAATGAAAGTGCCCTCTTTTCCTCCCAAAAAACTGTTGACTTCATCAATAAATGCATAGTTCTTCCTTCATGGAGTTATAATTCATAATTACTCTGGGTTACTGAGAAAAATTAGGGCTCATATTTAANACTGGGGGAAGGGGGAGGTCCCGGGCTTGGGGGAGAACTTGGGGGGGACTGGGGGAAGGGGGAGGTCCCGGGCTTGGGGGGAACTGGGGGGAGGAGCCAGCCTTGACCAGGCCCCATTCAGGCAGATCATTTCCTCACCAAGGTAAGAGAATTTCTCCATGTATGTATTTTTAGTCATACACACTGTCAGGAAATCACGATTCATCAGAACTCTTTTGAGTTTTGATCAGCAAGGAAGGGAACATTCAGTAATTGTAAGTGAATAACCCTATTTTTGGCTCTTGTTAACAATCCCCTTGTGTAACTTGCGGTGTCAGAGCTCTGCCATGATGCGGGAAATGATGGTCGTGAGGATGCCTGGTTTGGTGATGAAGGCAGAAACCTCACGGGTGAATCAGCTTGGGTTACCCACTCTGCTGGTCATGGAGGAAAAGAGAACTGGGAAGGAGCTTTCTGAGGGACTCAGGATGTTGTTACAAGGGCTTCCTGCTGTCAAAAATCAGATGCGCCCAGTCTCGGAGCTTCGGGGACAACAAAGGGAAAGCCAGCGAAGGCTGTGCCCCGCTTGCTGGTCCCTCCCGCAGGAAATTCTCAGCAACCCTTTTAAAGTAATTTTAACAAAATCCAATCCCTCTCAGCGCAATTACTGTCAGAACGTCAAAGGAATGCATTTAATAATGTTTTGATAGCATCAAGGGTGCACTTTTTCTCTCTCTGATCTCCAGCATTCCGCTTCGTTCCTTACCTCTTTGGAAATATATTCATCAGCCAATAGTGGCAAAGGCTCAGATCTTTTGAAGTTAGGGAAGGTTGGAAATACAGGTGTCGTTTTGGAGGAGTTCTTCATTTTCTCCTCTGAAAATCGCGTTAATGAGTGTCAGCGCACGTGGGCACAGGTGATTAGGTGGTGGAGACATCACAGGAAACTGTTTCGAATATATTCCTGGGTGGCTATATCCGGAATGTCTTGAATTTTCAAAGGTTTTGAATGTCTCATTTCTAAGCAGCCGTAATCCGTAATACACTGTAGCCGTCTTCAGTGGTGGAGAATTGGCTCCTTTATGCCGCAGAGGTGGAATGAATTCATAAATTATTTCAAGGGCTTCCCTAGTGGCTCGGATGTAAAGAATCTGCCTGCAATGTAGGAGGCCCAGGTTCGATCCCTGGGTTCAGAAGATCCCCTGGAGAAGGAGGTGGCAACCCACTCCAGTGTTCTTGCCTGGAGAATTTGATGGACTGAGGAGCCTGGCGGTTTACAGTCCATGGGGTCGCAAAGAGCTGGACACGACTGAGGGACTAACACAAACGCACATTCCGAGGTTAGAGTTTTCAAATGAGGAAGAGGGTTTAGATAGCATTTCAGAGATGTCCCGGGGTCCCTAGCGGGAAGATTTCTGAGCAAACAGATTGGATCATCCAAAAGGATTTAGGATGAATTTTGGTGGCTACATTATATAATTTAAAGGGCTTTAGATGATGTGTGTTAGAGGATACTTTAAAAAGCGTATTTCCTGATGAGTCTGATACCGTATCATCATATCATCGTCAGCTTAATGCCTGGCAGAGCCCTCATTTCCTGTGAAATTAAATCTAAATATTTAATTATCAACCCAGAGCTATTTAAATATCATTTAAAGGAAGTGAATCTTTAAAAATCATGTAACTATTATAAGTAGAAGGGAAAAAAGAAAACCAAGCATCTATAAAGCAGATTTCCTTAGCTGGCAGAGGACTTCATTTAAAACTGAACCTGGAAAGAATTCATTTGAATCAGTTCTAATGAGATGGATGAAACTGGAGCCCATTATACAGAGCGAAGTAAGCCAGAAAGATAAAGACCATTACAGTATACTAACACATATATATGGACTTTAGAAAGATGGTAACGATAACCCTATATGCAAAACAGAAAAAGAGACTCAGATGTATAGAACAGACTTGTGGACTCTGTGGGAGAAGGCGAGGGTGGGATGTTTCGAGAGAACAGCATCGAAACATGTATATTATCTAGGGTGAAACAGATCACCAGCCCAGGTTGGATGCATGAGACAAGTGCTCGGGCCTGGTGCACTGGGAAGACCCAGAGGGATCGGGTGGAGAGGGAGATGGGAGGGGGGACCGGGATGGGGAATACATGTAAATCCATGGCTAATTCATTTCAATGTATGACAAAAACCACTGCAATGTTGTAAAGTAATTAGCCTCATAAAAATAAATGGAAAAAATAAATAAATAAAATTAAAAAAAAAACTGAACCTGGGCTTCCCTGGTGGCTCAGTAGTAAAGAATCTGCCTGCCGATGCAAGAGACATCAGTTTGAACCCTGATCTGGGAAGATCCCACATGCTGCGGAGCAACTAAGCCCTCAAGATGCAACTATTGAGCCTGTGTTCTAGAACCTGAGAGCCACAGCTACTGAGTCTGTGCTGCAGTGACTGAAGCCCAGGTACCCCAGAGGCTGGGCTCCCCAGCAAGAGAAGCCCCTTCAGTGAGAAGTCCATGCATCACAACTAGAGAGTCGTCTCCTCTTGACACAACCAGAGAAAAGCTCTTGCAGTAACGAAGGCCCAGCACAGCCAAAAATAAATGAAGATATAAAAAAAAGGAAAAAAAGGACCTGCCATATACTGTTTGTGTCATCTGCTGCAACAGTATGGTTGTTCACTTTTGCAAAGTTAGAATGTGGTCCTCACATCTTCATTACACCCTCTGAGGACTGCCTGAGATAACTTTGGGCTTAACATCTAACAAGGGTTTCTTTTTTCCCATTTTTCTTTTTCTCAACTGGGCTCACGCCAACATCTGATGATTTTTCTGTCATACAGAAAGCGTTGACCTTAACATCCATCATCAGGAATGCTGATTCTGCCTGCTGATTCTGCCGAGAGGCTCATTTGAGGTTCAACTGTTCGTTCAAAATAACAAAGTCCAATCAAGCCATGCAGACAAAACATACCTGGGTAACGCAATACCGCCATCCCTCAGCAGGAAGAGACGAGCAGGACTGGGAGTGAGAAAGAGGCATGATCAGAGGGACCCGGCGCCCGGGTGTCAGCCCGGCTGCTCCCAGAGCCGCGACCCCAGTCACTCGTCAGGGCTGGCAAGGGGCCTTCTGCACTCCGGGGAATGCCAGGCCAGAGGGGACCCTTTGTTCTCGTGGGCCTGACAAGAAGCAGACCCCACCTGTGCTGACGGGGTTTTACAAAGTTCTATGAAGTTCTTTTACCTTTTTGGTTTCCTTTGGAGAGGGTGAGAGGGGGATGGTGGATGAGAAAGGGGTGACTTCTGCTCACCTTGGGGGCTGGGGCTGTTGAAGAACCCAGGGCCCAAGCACACATCTGGAGACACTGGTTATATAGATCAAAGTTTCTTTCGTTTAATGGGGACTGAGAAAGCATGATAAGAAATGCGGGATTTCACAAAGCTCTCCCCCGACACGTTTGTGGATTGGGGTGCACTGTGGTCCGTGTGTGGATTCTAAGCCAGGCTGCCTGTATCCACGTTCCGGGTCTACCACTTAAGAGCTGCGCTGGGCAAACCTCTCAGGCTTTTCTGCCTCACTTTCCGGAACTACACAATAGGGATAAGGGGTTATCCACTTCACGTGGTTGTCGTGAGGATTAAATGGGTCAGTTCCTGTAAAGTGCTTAGCTCAAGACCCTCAGGAAGTACTGAGTACGTGTTCGCTGTAGCTACCACTGAGTCCACCTCTTTCATTCTATCCGTGGAGGCCGCGTTCTGTGTGTTCAAGGCCCCGGAGCTGTTCTCTGCTTCTGTCTGTTGCTTGGTTGTGTCTGACTCTTTGCGACCCCATGGACTTCTCCAGGCAAAAATACTGGAGTGGGTAGCCATCCCCATCTCCAGGGGATCTTCCCAACCCAGGGGCCGAACCTGGTTCTCCTGCATTGCAGGCTGACTCATTACCGTTTGAGCCACCAGGCTCTTGAAATCTTTGGCTGAATTGTTTTCATCCTTCAGGTCCCAGCTCAGAAGCTCACCTCCTCCAGGAGTCCCTCCCCTGGTCATAGACTCCCCAGCACCTTCTACTTTGTTTTACAAACACTTTTCACAAGATTGTTGTTGTTGGTCATTCACTAAGTTGTGTCCG